AGACAGGATGACATTACCTAGACAGGGAGTGAAGACAGAACGGACAAGTATGGGCATCGCCTGGGGGCTGGTTAGAAATGCAGAATCACAGGCCCTACCCGAGGCCTGCTGAATCAAAATCTGTGTCTTAACAAGATCCCCACGTGATCTGTATGATTCTTTAAAGTTTGCGAAGCACTGCTTTGGAGCACTCCGTTGGTTCAGAGGAGAGACAATGAAGGGCAGTAACAGAAGGGATGATGTCAAGTGTTCACAAGTGGCTGAATGGAGGAGAGAAGCAAATGCAGGGAGAAGGAGGAGATTTCTGACTCAAGTGACTGGGTAGATGGTGTGCCACTAGTTGACAAAGAATATTAGAGGAAGTGTGGAGGGAAGGCATACAGAGGCTACTGTTTTATAGGTATTGAATTTGAGGCACACACTGGACATCCAAGTAGAGATCTTGCAGGCAGGCAGACACAGAGAGAGAGAGACTAGAACCCAGAGATATTAAATACTATCTTCAGTGAGATATCATGATTAAGAGAAGGTTTTTTTTTGAAGAATAAGACTATTGCTAGGTTGGGGAAGTCACAGAAGCTTCAAGAAAGTGAATAATTGATGGAGGAAGGTCCTCAAAGAGACTACAGAGAAAGGATTTTAGGTACAATGTAAAAGGATGGCTTAAAAATACTGGGGAGAAGGGCGCCTGGCTGGCTCAGTCAGTGGAACCCGCAACTCTTGACCTCAGGGTCATGAGTTCAAGCCCCAGGTTAGGTGTAGAGTTTACTTAAAAAAACAAACAAAAAAACAGGGACATCTGGGTGACTCAGTCAGTTAAGCGTCTGCATTTGGCTCAGATCATGATCCCAAGGTCCTGGGATCGAGCCCTATGTCGGGCTCCCTGCTGGGCGGGGAGTCAGCTTCTCTGTCTCCCTCTGCCCCTCCCCCCGCTCCTGCTCTCTCAAATAAATAGAAAATCTTTAAAAAAACAACAAACAAGGGCGCCTGAGTGGCTCAGTTGGTTAAGCGACTGCCTTTGGCTCAGGTCATGATCCTGGAGTCTCGGGATCGAGTCCCACATCGGGCTCCCCGCTCGGCGGGGAGTCTGCTTCTCCCTCTGACCCTCCCCCCTCTCATGCTCTCTCTCTCTCTTTCTCTCTCTCAAATAAATAAATAAAATCTTTAAAAAAAAAACAACAAAACAAAACAAAAACATTAAAAAATAATAATAATGGGAAGAGATGAAAACATATGTCCACACAAAGAATTATATGGTTTGGCTTTATACATGATAGCCAAAAACTAGGAACAACTCAAATGTGAATCAAGACATGAATGAATAAATGAATGAATGAATAAGCAAAGTTGGCATAGCCATATAACAAAATACCATGGAGCAATAAAAAGGAACTACTGATACAAACAACATGGATGAATCTCATTATTTTGAATGAAAAGATCCAGATACAAAAAGGCACACACCGGGGTGCCTGGGTGGCTCAGTCATTAAGCATCTGCCTCCGGCTCAGGTCATGATCCCAGGGTCCTGGGATCAAGCCCCACATTGGGATTCCTGCTCGGAGGGAAGCCTGCTTCTCCCTCTCCCACTCCCCCTGCTTGTGTTCCCTCTCTTGCTGTGTCTATCTCTGTCAAATAAATAAATAAAATCTTAAAAAAAAAAAAAAAAGAATGTGGCTTAAAAATAAAAAGGCACACGAGGCACCTGGGTGGCTCAGTTGGTTAAGCAACTGCCTTCGGCTCAGGTCATGATCCTGGAGTCCCAGGATCGAGTCCCAGGATCGAGTCCCGCTCAGTCTCCCTGCTCAGCAGGGAGTCTGCTTCTCCCTCTGACCCTCCCCCCTCTCATGTGCTCTCTCTCTCTCATTCTCTCTCCCAAATAAATAAAATCTTTAAAAAAAAAAAAAAGGCACACACCGTGTGATTCCAGTTATATGAAATTTTAGAATAGATTATTTCATCTACAATGAAAGAAGGTAGATCAGTGGATGCGTAGGGTCGGGAAATTGACAGAAGCAGGGCAGAAAGCTGTAGGGTTCCTGCTTATGGTATCCTCATTTAGTCTTGTGTGCTCCTCACTGAATGGCAATACCTTCATTGATTCTCTTTGGATGGACCTGTTCCTTATAAATATATGTCTAATTATGCTTATTTAAATGAAATGATGATGACGATGATGACTAACATTCACCGAGTTCTTCCTGTGTGCTCGGCAATAGGCTAAGCACTCATACAATCTGTACAACACTCCAATGAAGTTGGTACTATTACTATCTTTTTTTTTTTTTAAAGATTTTATTTATTTATTTGAGAGAGAGAATGAGATAGAGAGAGAGCATGAGAGGGGAGAGGGTCAGAGGGAGAAGCAGACTCCCTGCCGAGCAGGGAGCCCGATGTGGGACTCGATCCCGGGACTCCAGGATCATGACCTGAGCTGAAGGCAGTCGCTTAACCAACTGAGCCACCCAGGCACCCACTATCTCCTTTTTTAAAACAGATTTTGTTTATTTGAGAGAGAGAGAGAGACGGAAAGCGCACGTGCAGAGACAGGAGCGCATGAGCCGGGGAGGGGCAGAGGGGCAACCAGACTTCCCTGCTGAGCAGGAGCCTGATGCTGCTAGATCCCAGGATCCTGAGATCATGACCTGAGCTGAAGACAGACACTAAACCCACCAAGCCACCCAGGCACCCCTCTCCTTTTTTTTTTTTTTTAAGTTTATTTATTTATTTTTTTAGTAATCTCTACACCCAATGTGGGGTTCAAACTCACAACCCTGAGATCAAGAGTTGCATGTCTTTCTCACTGAGCCAGTCAGGCACCCCTACCATCCCTTTTTTTAAACAAACATGAAAAAACTAAAGCTGAAAGAGATTGATTAACTTGCTCAAGATCTCATAGTTTGTCTAACAACCTTGACACTAAAAATTCATGGTCTTAACCATGACATAAGACTTACAATGGTACAAGCTATCTACTGGTAGACATTTAAAAGAGATCCACATGTTCAGAGAGCCTTTGGCTCATGTACTTCTTGTTAGCCACTCAAGCCTCATCTGCCCCAGCATCTTCCCTACCTCGTTGGAGCAACCTGCACTCGCTGGGCTCCCATCCCAAGTCCAAGTCAAAATGTCCTAAAATCCTCCAGCTGCCAAACAGTACTTATCCCAGTTTCCCAGTTATGACTCCCAGCTCTGAGGTTATTTCCCCCATGCTCTCTCCAGTGACTACCTACCTAACATGTTATTCCTATCTTCCCAGTTTCTTCTCTTCCCTCACCAGCCCCTTCAAAGCCTTGATTGTTTTTGTTTGAGAACTGGAACCCAAACCAATTTCTCTTACTTATGCACTAGGAATACTTTTTCATTATCCGTTAAATCGAAACAAGAACCCAAGGAACACCCTCAGCATAGAAGTGCTGAATCATATCAAGTCACTGAGAAAGAAGAGCAGGCAAGCAGAATGCATGGATCGGGTAAGGCCTGTCCTCCACAGCTCCTATGATTGCACACACTAAAACCAACACAAATGCCTGAATAGATCATATTAGCATCCTCAAAATTAAGGGAAGTAGGGGTGCCTGGGTGGCTCAGATGGTTGGGCGTCTGCCTTCAGCTCAGGTCACGATCCCAGGGGCCTGCCCAGAGTAGGGCTCCCTGCTCAGCGGGGAGTCTGCTTCTCCCTCTCCTTCTTCCATTCCCCCTGCTCGTGCTCTCTGGCTCTAACTCTCTGTCAAATAAATAAATAAAATCTTTAAAAAAAAAAAAAAAAATTTAGGGGAAGTACACTATAAGCAAATATGTATTTAGCAAGTTCTTCCAATGGTGAAATAAAAAAGTATATTTTTCAGTTTTGTTTGGCACTGACCCTATTTGTCACTGGGAGTTCCGCATTTCTCAAAGCCTTGACCCGTCCACACGCATTCACATATCAAAAATTAGAGATGATTACATTAACATAGCAGTCCACTTACTTTCACAAAGGAAACTCTGTGAACACGAAGTGTTTTGCAAGGTAGGTTACCGGAACCATTCCAGCTGTGTCAACAGCTTCTCTAAGTTGGGCTGCCACAGCGGTTTCACATCCAAACTCTTAACTCTGAAAAACAACGTATCGTAATAAGTACGAAATCCTACAATTCGAACTGGCAGAAGTAATTCTCTCTGGCAGACTCCTACGGTAGGTAACTTTAGTTGGAAGTCTGTTTGGGGTGGCTGGAATAGAATTAGCCTGAAAGGCAACATCTCTGAAACAATTTTGCCGTCAACCCTGAGGTTGTCTTGGGGACTACGTACTCAAGGAGCGGGGCTGGGATCAGCTGGTAAAAGGGTTTCCGCCCAGGGTCTCAGTAACTTTAAAAGTGCTGCCGAACAGCTAGTAGTGTCCTCAAGGGGCCGTGAGCGTCAAACCGCTTCCTGGGAGGCGGGTCTCGTCTTTACGAATTTGGAAAGACAGATTTCCGAGGAAAGAGAAGTCCTTCAGAATGGAAAACTTCCTCCTCCGACCCCCCCACCTCCGCCACGCTCAAGTAGCCTCTACAAAGGGATTTTTTTTTTTTTTTCAAGGTGAATCACCTGTTCAGAAGGCCAGAGGAAAAATTACCGAGGATTTGGTTCCACAGAAAGATGGAAAGAGGGCGCCTGGGTGGCTCAGACGGTTAAGCGTCTGCCTTCGGCTCAGGTCATGTATCCCAGGGTCCTCGGATCGAGTCCCGCATCGGGCTCCCTGCTCAGCGGGGAGCCTGCTTCTCCCTCTGCCAATCTCTCTCTCTGTCTCTTATGAATAAATAAATAAAATCTTAAAAAAAAAGAAAGAAAGAAAGATGGAAAGAATGAAGGGGCAAGACTCCTCGCCCCAAACTGGAATATGACCTTGCCTCGGGGACCGTTATATCTGCCTCTCAGACTCCACCATCTTGGACTCCCCCATGCTTGCGACAGTCCTGCGCTGACTCCCCTAGAGACTGGTTTCTCAGGGGGTTCGGGCCAGAGGGCTTACTTACCACGTCCTCAAAGTCGACCGGCCCGAGTCCCGCCGGAGACGACCCGCAGCCCGGACGCCAGACGGGGAACACCCCTGGCTACATTCTCATTGGCTCCTGGAGGCCGGAAGTGCATGTGTCCGGCGGAAGTACTCCTACTGTGAGCGTCGGCCAGGCCGGGACCCTCAGGTAGGCGGGGCCCCTGGCTCCGAACTCTGGGACCAAGGCTGTGGCACGGGCGGAGAGGGGACCCCGAGGGCCCCAGGAGGTTGTCTGGGTCTTGGTCTGGGAGAGCTGGAAGAGTTTCGGGGGCAGGGGTTCATGGCGACCTCTGGTGGCAGCCGGGGCCTAGTCGAGCCCGGCCACCGCAGGACCCAAGTGCGGGAGCTCCAAGTTCCCCCGTGGAGACGGGGTTCGGGGCGGGGGCCCGAGCTGCTCCGTGTCGCGTCCCGATGGTTGAGGTCCCTCGCTGCTCACGTCCAGCCGGGAAACACGTGTGCTCTCCGCCCTTATCAGTGCTTCTGGCTTTGACAGCCGCGCTCCGGACACGTGGGGGTGCAGGGTTTTCCTCAGGAACACCCGCCGCATCGCTAGGGGACACCTCAGCAAGGCTGCCCGAGGCGCTGTCAAGAGAGAAAACGTCTTCTGCCCCTCCTCGCCCCGCTCCCCTCTCTCCCATGGTGTCTTCCTAAAAAGAGAAGGGTGTGTGTCAGATGCAGGCTGCTCAGGTGGGAGTTATCTGGACTGCTTTAGGCTAGTTTCTGTAAAGTCAGTGAAACTACTTGTTAATGATTCCCTATTTCCCAGCCAACTCCACCTCTAAGTGGTTTGAATTTTGAGCCTCTTGTAGTCCTGATGAACAGTTTCGCTTTCCTCAAGTTTATGACACGTGGAACTTCAACAGTTGGAGGTTTATGCACTTTGGGACCGGCCAAGAGTGTGCAGAGTTTAAAGTACTAAGAGACAAGGTGAGCATGAATGAGTACATCTTCCGCTCCAGGTGACAGTTTTTGAGTGCTATTTCGGCAGTTTCTGTGAAAGCTGCACCGCCTTTATTGGATACTAGGTGGTGCCAGCGAGTTAATCGTTCTGGGATAAATTTCAAATAACGGGCAGCACCGGGTTGCTTTCAAAGTGCCCCAACTTCCCTGAAATTTATTTAAAATAGTTTTACCTCCTTTAAAATATCTGGTGCCTTTATACGCTGTATCCAGTTATCAAATACCTATTCTCTCTTAAGTGCTGAGGATGCTAAAAGAGGAATCAGGCTCATTTTCTCCTCTCCCAGAGTTTATAGTCTGGAGAGAAAGACCAGTAAACAATGTGTTATAATGAAATCACATATAATTTAAGGAAGAAATAAGTACTAAATAGAGAATAAGATGTGAAATGCCGTGGAAGAAGCAATCTGTTCTCATTATTCATTTACCAATTATTTATCCAGTACTTTCTGTCTGCCTAACGTTATGCTGGATGCTGATGCATAAAGAAAAAGTAGGGGCGCCTGGGTGGCTTAGTCGGTTAAGCATCTGTCTTGGGCTTAGGTCATGATCCCGGGGTCGTGGGATCAAGCCCTGTCAGGCTCCCTGCTGAGCAGGGAGCCTACTTCTCCCTCGCCCTCTAACCCCGCCCCCAGCTCCTGCGATCACGTGTGTGTGCGCTCTCTCTCGCTCTCACTCTATCTCAAATGAATAAAATCTTTTTTTTCCAAAAATTTTATTTATTTATTTGACAGAGACAGCGAAAGAGGGAACACAAGCAGGGGGAGCGGCAGAGGGAGAAGCAGGCTCCCCGCTGAGCAGGGAGCCTGATGTGGGACTCTGTCCCAGGATGATGGGATCATGACCTGGGCCGAAGGCAGACACTTAAGGACTGAGCCACTCAGGTGCCCTGAATAAATAAAATCTTAAAAAAAAAAAATCCCTGCTCACAATTTAGTGATTGGGAGGGAACCAAGTAAGACATGGAGAAACTGAACCTTGAGCTAGACCTTGAAGAATGGATTACATGGGCTTGATAGGTGGGAAAAAAAAAAAAACTGGCTCAGAAGAGAAGGATGAAAGTGCGTGGCACGTTTTGAAACAGCAAGTTGTTCTCGCTTTGGCTGCACATACAGCAAAATTGAAACAGCACATAGTTTAGCGTGGTTAGACTGTAGGAGATTGAGCCTGAAAAGACACTATCAGTTTTAGGTTTGGCTTTACTTTTACTGGAAAATTCAGATATAAAATAAAGTTTAATTGTATGTGTCCCCGGAGAAATTATACATGAAGCATAGCTGTAATAAATTATGTGTAATAAATTACGCTTCTGGCTAACCTATTATACATGAAATTACACTTTTGGCTATAATTAGCTCATTTGTATTTACATATCATTAATCATTGTAGATAAGCCACTTTTAAAAGATACAGTAGTAAGAATAGATTTTCACTGATTACATTCTATTTTGAGTGTAATGTAAGGAATCCTCTTCATTGAAGTTCACATATCAGATCATCTGGTAATGATTATGTGTAGGAAAATTTTAAATGCTTTAATAAGTTACCCTAGGATTTAGGGTTTTTGTTTTGTTTTGGTTTGGTTTTTGGTTTTTGTTTTTTTAAATTTTTGTTTAAGTAATCTCTACACCCAACATGGGGCTCGAACTCATTATCCCAAGATCAAGAGTTGCGTGCTCCACTGACTGAGCCAGCAGGCGCCCCAGGGTTTAGGTTTTGTTTTTTTTTTTTAAAGACTTTATTTATTTGAGAGAGAGAATGAGATAGAAAGAGCACGAGAGGGGGGAGGCAGAGGGAGCAGACTCCCTGCTGAGCAGGGAGCCCGATGCGGGACTCGATCCCGGGACTCCAGGATCATGACCTGAGCTGAAGACAGTCGCTTAACCAACTGAGCCACCCAGGCTCCCAGGGTTTAGGTTTTAATGAATGGTTATATCTAATGTTAAGCAAAATGTGTTTCCTGAAAGGAATGTAAGTTTAATTTTTATAAATGAAAAAATTTAAATGCTATAAATGTTAAGGTAAATGCATATAATATCAACATGCCAAAATCAGTAACTTTTCTCTACACTAGCAATAATCAGAAATTTTTGTTTTTACGTAAACTCTATGCCCAACATGGGACTGGAACTCACAACCCCGAGATCAAGGGTTGCATGCTCCACCGACTGAGGCAGCCGGGTGCCCCACAATAATCAGAAATTGTAATAACAAAAAGTCTATTCCCAGTATTAACAAAAAATACAAAATGTCTTAGAATAGCCAATGTTCAAAGCCTTTGTGAATAAAACAATACTTTTTAAATTAAAGATCATGAAAGAAAGCTGAGATAAATGGAGTGATATATTGCTTATTAGGAAGATTCAAATTTCAAGGATATAAATCTTCTCATATTAGTCTCTAATTTTAATGTAATCCCTGTCAAAATTTCAATCGCTGTTTTTTTTTTTTTTAGATTTTATTTATTTGAGAGAGAGAGAGATCACGAGCAGGGGGGAAGGGTAGAGGGAGAAGCAGACTCCCCACTGAGCAGGGAGCCCAATGCGGTACTCGATCCCAGGACCCTGGGATCATGACCTGAGCAGAAGGCAGACGCTTAACCAGCTGAGCCACCCAGGTGCCCCTCAGTTGCATTTTTAAGGGAACTTGACAAGCTGATTCTTTAGTTCATCCAGAAGAGAAAATGCATAGGAATAGCCAAGAGTTATGGGGGGGGAAATTCTGTAATAATAAAGGCAACTCCTTATCAGTTATCAATGTACACCAGCTCTGCTGCTAACAATTACAATAGCAAGGTAATGTCTTAGGACCCGAACATTATCAGTGAAATTGACTTGAGTCTGTTTCTATTGAATCTATATTAAAAGTGGCATGGGGCACCCATGTTGGCTCAGTTGATTAAGCGTCCGACTCAATCTCAGCTCAGGTCTCGATATCATGGTTGTGAGTTCAAGCCACGTGTTGGGCCCCATGCTGGACATGGAGCCTATTTAAAACAAACAACCAATAAAAGTGGCATAAGTACTGACTAGTAAACAGTGTTGGGGCAACTGGCTCCCCATTTGAAAGAAAGTAAAAGTTAGACTCCTATTTTACAGCATTAAAAAAAAGTTGCAGGTAGCTTAACTGAATGTAAAAAGAGAAAAATTTATGTAAGTCTTAGAATACAATATATATATATTTTTAAATCTTGAGATGGTTAGGGCCTGCCTTCATGGGACATAAAACTAAAAAGCCTTAAAGAAGAAGACAGATTTGGCCATTAAAAATAATAATTTATTGTGGGGCACCTGGGTGGCTCAGTCAGAGTCTGCCTTCAGCTCAGGTCATGATCTCAGGGTCCTGGGATCAGTCCTGCATCGGGCTTCCTGCTCAGCGGGGAGCCTGCTTCTCCTTCTCCCTCTGCCTCTGCCTCTCCCCTGCTTTGCTTTCTCGTTCTCAAATAAATAAAATCTTTTTTAAAAAAAGTAAAAATAATAATTTATCATGACAAAAAACAACATTAAGGGAAATTTAAAGTCAAGAGACAAGGGAGGGGTACCTGGGTGGCTCAGTCGTTAAGCGTCTGCCTTCGGCTTAGGTCATGATTTCAGGGTCCTGGGATCAAGCCCCGCATCGGGCTCCCTGCTCCGCAGGAAGCCTGCTGCTCCCTCTCCCACTCCCCCTGCTTGCGTTCCCTCTCTCGCTGTGTCTCTCTCTGTCAAATAAATAAATAAAATCTTAAAAAAAAAAAAAAGATAAGGGATAATATTTGCAACATAACTACAAAGGCTTCATACTCCTATAAATCAGTAAGAGAAAGATAATCCAGTAGAAACATGGGCACATTTCCAAAGAAGAAATTCATATCAAAAGTTGTTAATGCCCGGGCGCCTGGGTGGCTCAGTTGGTTAAGCAACTGCCTTCGGCTCAGGTCATGATCCTGGAGTCCCAGGATCGAGTCCCGCATCGGGCTCCCTGCTCGGCGGGGAGTCTGCTTCTCCCTCTGACCCTCTCCCCTCTCATGCTCTCTCTCTATCTCATTCTCTCTCTCAAATAAATAAATAAAATCTTTAAAAAAAAAAAAAAGAGATCAGGCCTTAAAAAAAAAAAAAAGTTGTTAATGCCCATAAGTCAGGTAAATGCACATAAGACCAACAAGATAAGGCTAGGAGTGTTCTGAATCCTGGAGAGTACTTAGTAAGAATGAAAAAGAATGTTATAAAAATCTTTTTGTAACGCAAAGTCACACCTGATCTATTTCTTTTTTTTTTTAAAGATTTTATTTATTTATTTGAGAGAGAGAGAATGAGAGATAGAGAGCACGAGAGGGAAGAGGGTCAGAGGGAGAAGCCGACTCTCCGCTGAGCAGGGAGCCCGATGTGGGACTCGATCCCGGGACTCCAGGATCATGACCTGAGCCGAAGGCAGTCGCTTAACCAACTGAGCCACCCAGGCGTCCCAATAGTAAGATTTCTAATTAGCTTGTCAAGTCAGTTAGGAAGACTGCCAGGCATTTTTGTGGGGTTTTACTAGTATATGAGTTTAAACTTTTATATGTAAAATGAAATTCTCTTTGCACAACTGTCTTTCCCACACCTGTAGCTCAGAAAGAGTGTAGCCCATTTTAAATTGTACTGGTATGTTGAATCATTTCAAATAACCAAATAATACTATATGTGGGCTTATTGTTCTACTTAGAGATCAAAATGGCTTCCAGAGGAAAGACAGAGACAAGCAAATTAAAGCAGAATTTAGAAGAACAGTTGGATAGACTAATGCAGCAATTACAAGATCTGGAGGAATGCAGGTAATAGTATAACTGAATGCTGCTCTGCTGTCAAGTGGCTTTTTTCTGCAGCTAGATTCCCAGCCGTGGGTGCAGGCCCATGTTTGATTTTGGTTTCACCTGTAGTGTTCTTCTCAGTGCTTTGTCTGTTGGAGAAATAAAAGTGCAAGCTTTGGAGTCATAAAAGTAAGCCCCTTAAGTTTCCATTTCCTTGAGTGTGAAGTAGAAATAGTAACACCTACCTTGTCTTCAGTATTTAAAATAGCCCTGCCTGGTATGTACTTGAACTTCTAGTGTATTTTCAGCCTTAACCATTCAAAGGATCAAAACTGTTCATTGCCTTTTTTAACAACTTTGAAAGGTTGTTGTAGGTATTTCAAATGAAGAGTAGGCTTGGCCCAGAGTAGGTGCTCAGTAAATGGTAGCTGTCATTATTTGTAGTAAATGTTTAATAAATGGCTTGTTCAATTAGTGACTAAAAATAGCCTCTTAGCTGACTGAACATAATAAAAAAAACTAGCCTCGTGCTCAGATGACAGGTACTACATTGCTGTTGTATTTCACGATGGACAAAATTTTACCTACCATTAATGATGGTGATAAAAATAACAACTATTTTGTCAAGTACCTATTGTTTGTCAGGGACTTTCTGTAGTTTATGTAATGTGCATAGCAACCCTATAAGGTAGGTACTGTCATTATCTGTGGCTTGTAGATAAAGAAACTGAGGCTTGGCTGTGTTAAGTATCTTGCCCATGGTTATGAATCGATTCATAGACTGCTTAAGAGGAAGTTATTATGTGGTTTGTTAAGTGTGCCTCACTTTGGTAAAAGAAAAATGTTTAATTATCAAAGTAACCACATTGCAGGAAAACACCCATATTACTAACATCTGAACACATCTATTGTTAGCATTTTGTCATTTCCTTTCAGCCTTGTCCCCCCAGATATTTTTTGTAAATATATGTATCTGAAGTCTTAGAGTACAAATATTAAGATTGCTTTTTTCACTTGGAACTCTTGTGTTTTTCTATATTATGTTCACTGTACTTCAGAGAGGAACTTGATACAGATGAATATGAAGAAACCAAAAAGGAAACTCTGGAGCAACTAAGTGAATTTAATGATTCACTGAAGAAAATTATGTCTGGAAATATGACTTTGGTAGATGAGCTAAGTGGAATGCAACTGGTAAGCATAATTTACGTACACTGGTGACACAGGTGGTTTTTCTCTCTTTTTTTATAAGTATATTTAAGATAGAAGAGAAACCCTGTCCCAGGCAGCCAGCATTCATTGTACAAGTTCCCCCTTTGGAAAACGGTGTGTGGGTGTTCAGTTCTGTGTCTGGTGAATATGAACAGACTGTATATCTCCCTGTGATCTGTGGTAGCTGTGAGGCAGCTCTGGAACGTGAAGAGCTGTTTGGTTTGAACCGTGAAGAAAACTGTTTCGAGTTTAGCTGAGATTAAAGAAAAGTTCATCAAGTGACTATTAATGTACACCTGGTTATTAAAATAACTATGAAATTAAAGAAAAGAAAAGAAACCCTGTTTGGGGGTTTGACTTCTAGATCAATGTCTGCTTATGGATAAAGCAGCATAAGCTTCCAGATCTTCATTTAGTTATGTATTTGGCTCCAATGACATGCACAGAAATAGCAAATGGAAACTAAATTTTTTTTTAAATTTAAATTTTAGGTAGTTAACATACAGTGCAATGTTGGTTTCTAGAGTAAAATTCAGTGATTCATCACTTACTTACAATACCCAGTGCTCATCCCAGCAAGTGCCCTCCTTAATGCCCATCACCCGTCTGGCCCATCCCCCACCCACCTCCCTCCATCAACCCTGTTTGTTCTTTATCGTTAAGAATCTCTTATGGAGGGCGCCTGGGTGGCTCAGTTAGTTAGGCGGCTGCCTTCGGCTCGGGTCATGATCCTGGAGTCCCTGGATTGAGTCCCGCATCGGGCTCCCTGCTCGGCGGGGAGTCTGCTTCTCCCTCTGACCCCCCCACCATGTGCTTTCTCTCTCTCTCATTCTCTCTCTCTCAAATAAATAAAATCTAAAAAAAAAAAAAAAAAAGAATCTCTTATGGATTGTTTCCCTCTCTCCTTTTTTTCTTTCCCCCTTCCCATATATTCCTCTGTTTTCTTTCTTAAATTCCACATATGAGTGAGATCATATGGTATTTGTCTTTCTCTGACTGACTTATTTCACTTAGCATAATACTCTCTAGCTCCACCCACATCACTGCAGATGGTAAGATTTCATTCTTTTTCATGGCTGAGTAGTATTCCATTGTGGGGGGGTGGTGTGTTTACAACATACAGCATAAGTTGTAAATTATGCTTACACACACCACCCACATCCTTTTTTTCCATTCATTAGTCAGTGGATATTTGGGCTCTCTCCATAGTTTGGCTATTGTTGCTAATGCTGCTATAAACATCAGGGTGCATGTATCCCTTTGAATCTGTATTTTTGTGTCCTTTGGGTACATATCTAGTAGTTGCAATTGCTGGATCATAGGGTAGTTCTATTTTTAACATTTTGAGGAACCTCCATACTGTTCTCCAGAGTCGCTGTACCAGTTTGCATTCCCACCAACAGTGCAAGAGGGTTCCCCTTTCTCCACATCCCCACCAACATCTGTTGTTTCTTTTTTTTTTTTTTTAAGATTTTATTTATTTGAGAGAGAGAATGAGATAGAGAGAGCACGAGAGGGGGGAGGGTCAGAGGGAGAAGCAGACTCCCTGCTGAGCAGGGAGCCCGATGCGGGACTCGATC